TCATCATTGAGTAAACTTTGACCCTGTACCTCACAGTCAGCAGACACATTCCAGCCAATTAGCAGCACACCCTCCCTAGCAGACCCTCCCACCTCCTGGAAGGCATCCATTTTAGATTCATTGTCAAGCTGCATGCTTTAGTAAGAGGAGGGAAAGTGTAGCTGCTGTTCATTAGATAGGGAAAAGCATAGCTAGGTTAGGGTTAGGGTATGCTTTTTTTTAATTTATTTTTCTATGTAATGTAATTGCATTTAGTTGTCTGCCACTGCTGCCAGCTTCTGTGTCAGGCTCACAGTGCATACTGTGCCCATTTCCCCAGTCAGTGCCACCACTTATATCTGGTGTCACAATAGCTTGGATTTAAAACAAAAAACTTTTTTCACTGTTGTTAAGACACCTCCAGTGTCTTTAAGCCAAACCGCCGTTTAGTATACCTTCCCCGGCTGCAGTACAGTCTCCGTTCGCTTAATCTGTAATACACGAACCAAATGCAGGGGAAGCGGCAATCTCCCGACCGAGATCCGTGAACGGCTTCAAACTCCCGAACGGCAATACACGAACTGCTGGTAATCGTCGAACAGCAATATTCCCCAAGCGGCTTTCGTTCCATCCAGCAGTCTCTAAACGTGAAGAAGAAATCCCCCCAATAACGAGACAGAAGCTCCGCATTGAGGGTCAAACAGAATCTGGTTTTACTGTGGGCTACCTGCCCGTATTTATGCAGGTCTCCCACTGGTAGACACTCCCCTAGGGGACCAAATGGGAGACTTAAACTACAGACAGATAGAGGGACATTTCAGACACACAGTCACTTATTTTACCCACAGTGCATTATGATTCCCTCCCCTCTGCCCTGGAGTTAATTACCAAGTAACTCAATTAACTCCAGGACAAGGACAGTCGCCATTTTAGACATAAAATAATAAAAGACATAAAAATACATAACTACATGAAAACTGAACATTTCCCATTCGTGTTACATGTCCCCAGATAGCCTGGATCTGAGTGCATATTATTAGCGAATAGCGCTCAGATCCCACACACATAGTTCAATCGCCATGGAGTCAAAGTTCTTACAGTCTTTCGGTATACGAATGACTCCATGGGAGGGCTATCTGAGTTAAGTCTTTTCGTATGCTCTCAATCTCCCGAACGGCCGGTGTTCGCATGCTTTCGTGGAGGCAGCCAGGCGTTCGGCAGAAAAAGTGTCCGTTTTTAGTTCCATAGAATTAGAGCCAAACACCGCTGGGCGTTCATGTGATTTAAAATGGCCGCTGCCTCGTGGTCGACATACGAACGACGACCACCCTGAATTCGGTTTAATTGAGAAGTGTCTGCGGTTAACCACAACGTTCTAATTGGGATCACTTTGTTAACCAGCAGCACACTCCTCACTTGGGTGGCCGTTCGTTCGGCAGGTTTGTTCGGGAAAAAGAGTCATTCGAATGGCTGGGCTATAGAAACCAGCCATTCATACGAACGGGGGACAAACAGACGAACGGGGTAAAAATCCAAGCAGACAGATGGTTCTGTCACAACTGTTATAGATTGAATAGCAGTCAGTTGTCTGCCACTGCTGCCAGCTTCTGTGTCAGGCTCACAGTGCATACTGTGCCCATTTCCCCAGTCAGTGCCACCACTTACATATGGTGTCACAATAGCTTGGATTTAAAAACAAAAAACTTGTTTCACTGTTATAGATTGAATAGCAGTCAGTTGTCTGCCACTGCTGTCAGCTTCTGTGTCAGGCTCACAGGGCATACTGTGCCCATTTCCCCAGTCAATGCCACCACTTACATCTGGTGTCACAATAGCTTGGATTTAAAAACAAAAAACTTTTTTCACTGTTATAGATTGAATAGCAGTCAGTTGTCTGCCACTGCTGCCAGCTTCTGTGTCAGGCTCACAGTGGATACTGTGCCCATTTCCCCAGTCAGTGCCACAACTTATATCTGGTGTCACAATAGCTTGGATTTAAAAACAAAAAACTTTTTTCACTGTTATAGATTGAATAGCAGTCAGTGTCCTTAAAGCGGGTGTGTTACGCTAACAGTGGATACGCTGACAAGTGCCACTAATTAGATCTGGTGTCACAATAGTTTGGATTAAAAAAAAAAATAATCTTTTTTCACTGTTATAGATTGAATAGCAGTCAGTGTCCTTAAAGCGGGTGTGTTACGCTAACAGTGGATACGGTGACCAGTGCTACCACTTAGATCTGGTGTCACAATAGCTTGGATTTAAAAACAAAAAACTTTTTTCACTGTTATAGATTGAATAGCAGTCAGTGTCCTTAAAGCGTGTGTGTCAGCCCTACAGCGTGTACTCTGCCAGTTTACAGTGCTACTCATATCTGGTGTCATAATAGCTTGGATTTAAAAACAAAAAACTTTTTTCACTGTTATAGATTGAATAGCAGTTAGTTATCTTCAAGCAGGTGTGTTACGCTAACAGTGGATACGGTGACCAGTGCCACCACTTAGATCTGCTGTCACAATAGCTTGGATTTAAAAACAAAAAACTTTTTTCACTGTTATAGATTGAATAGCAGTCAGTGTCCTTAAAGCGGGTGTGTTACGCTAACAGTGGATACGGTGACCAGTGCCACCACTTATATCTGGTGACACAAAGCTTGGATTTTAAAACAAAAACTTTTTTCACTGTTATAGATTGAATAGCAGTCAGTGTCCTTAAAGCGGGTGTGTTACGCTAACAGTGGATACGATGACCAGTGCCACCACTCACTGGTGTCATAATAGCTTGCATTTAAAAACAAAAAACTTTTTTCACTGTTATAGATTGAATAGCAGTCAGTGTCCTTAAAGCGGCTGTGTTACGCTAACAGTGGATACGGTGCCCAGTGCCACCACTTATATCTGGTGTCACAATAGCTTGGATTTAAAAACAAAAAACTTTTTTCACTGTTATAGATTGAATAGCACTCAGTGTCCTTAAAGCGGGTGTGTTACGCTAACAGTGGATACGGTGCCCAGTGCCACCACTCATATCTGGTGTCACAATAGCTTGGATTTAAAAACAAAAAAACTTTTTTCACTTTTATAGATTGAATAGCAGTCAGTGTCCTTAAAGCGGGTGTGTTACGCTCACAGTGGATACGGTGACCAGTGCCACCACTTAGATTTGGTGTCACAATAGCTTGGATTAAAACGAAACTTTTCACTGTTATAGATTGAATA